GATTTTTTTTCCCCTCTAAGCAACTTGTCCAAGACTCAAGAAAGTCTGTGTTGGGATCAGGGCCAAACTTTGGTCTCCTGAGTTAAATTTAGCACTCCAAACATTGGACTATGTGTCCTCTTCTGAGTTTCTTTGAAGATTTCCTACACAAGAATTGATCAAGCTTGGCTCTAATTTACGTATGTAGTTATAGACCAAAGGCAATGGTTACGTATCACCATATCATAAATGCTTGTGCTACAAAAATTGTCATTCGCAAACGATGCCCAAATACATTTATTCAAAAATAGGCATTCCATAGTTTAGCCTTGAGCAGAGTGTAAAATAAGAGGAGAATAAAACTACAATGAACAGAAATTCTCAATAAATCCAGGATGTATGCATGGAGAATGTATAATCAGGGTGGCTGTGCAGAATGAGCTTTTGGAAGTCTTTTTTTTCAGCAGAAGAATGAAGGGTCTCTCTGTTAATCTGATTTTCATTTCTATTGGGAGAAAAAGATCCATTTACATTGATATTAGCTATTTTAATGCATGAAGTAATACACTCAGCTGGAATGTCTAAATGAGGTGTTGTAAATTCATTATTCCATAAATCAGCTGCATCCTGTCAGAACAGAAAAAGTTCCTTTTAACAGTCTTTTGAGACTGATATAAAACAAGGTATATGAGAAGATTGTTTGTACAATATGTCAGCAGGTATATTCTAAAAGCATAAAATGATTGATGCCTTTGAAAAATGTGAAAAAGAATTTCTTTGACATGCCATCCAGCAAATAATACTTCTTTTCATACTGATGATTCAGGAAATGAAAAATGGCTCCCTCACTGCAGTGTGCTCAGTACATTTACAAACATAATTTCAGAAACCTAAGCATGCAAATATTCTATGGCTTAAGATTCTTCAAATGCTTTAGTTTAGCAGCAGCCTGTGCATCTTAAGAACCCTTGCAAAATGAAACATCAAATACATTATTCCACAATATTCATTTAAAGTATTTTTTAAAATCTACCTTTGATATTTTTTTCCAGAGAAGTCTTAAAATTGGGCAGGATATTTTGCCCTGTATATTCATGGCCATTTCTTGAATTTGTGCAAAATTTATTACAACTTTGCAAAAACTTAGGTCTTTGGATGGAATGTATAAATAATGCATTTATTAACTACATTAAATATTTAGAGAATAGAGAATTTCTAGAGAATTTTTAGTTGGTTTTCTTCTAATTCTCCACTAAATCTCTTACTGTTTTTGTTGCTTGCATCTGTATGAATGTTAGAGTAAATTACATGTGAATACATATTTCAATGATTTACAAATATGAGTCAGTGTTGTAAATTTTCATTTCAGAGTGGGAAATTTGATCACTTGTCCTTGTTTCTCTTCTTTTACCATCTTATTCATCCTTTACTGCTTTACTCTGCAACAATATTTTACATGGTTAAGTTAAAACATATTTTTCTTGCAATATTTTGCATGATCAGTAAATATGTTCTTTACAATACTATAATTGTTGTGAATAAGCTTCTGTGAACATCAAATAGAACCTTATTGCTCCCTCTGATGCAAATGCATTGAGGGATATGAAAGATACAAAAACTGCAGTATTCCCACACATGGAGCCATGGCCCTGAATAACACAGCCGGAGGTCATAATTAGCTCTCTTCTAACAATTTCTGCACTGAGAGAGCCCATGAAGGGGCTATGATGTCTCCAAATCACCCACTATTCCCCCAGTTTTTCACTTTCTCTAACCATACAGATTCCTCAGACCCCCATAGAGTCGGTGGGAAGATGTTGTGGATAAGCTTGAGACCATAAGCACTTCTGCTCTTGGAAGAAGTTAGCTCCTGCGGGGTTAACCTGCGCCCCCCAGGCTCCTGGTCCAAGTGCTGTTCCCCTCATTGCTGCTGCTACTACTGGGGTCTCTGGGCTTCCTCTCCCTCTGTATCCCCTGGCCACTCAGAAGTTGGACAGCTCCGCTTTAATGCTATGGTTGGCTCATTGCTCTGAGAAAGATACTTGATCTTCTTGCATGTGGTCAGAATGACAATCATGTTTCACAAGGAACCCAATTAGAACTCATTAGAACTCAATAGCTTGTGATTCTTTATATAGAAATAAATTTGAAATTAAGTGAACAAACTGATGATAACTATAACAATAACTGACGATAACTGAAATGTTCATAGGCAATAAAGACTACCTGGGATTGAAGATGGGGAAAGGAAACTGTCATGGAAAATAATGTAATAAAAATAAAACCTCAAAACCTTTATGTGCAATATGGTACATCTATTTAATTTGTACTCTGTCATTCTTCAGTGCACTTTCTAAATGCTGAACAGAGAAATATAGATCCAAAGAGTTTAAGTCAGTGCTTTAATTTGTTCAAGTAATTCAATACGATTTCCTGCATCTGTTGAACTGCAGACTGCTATAAGTGGCTCTAATTTGTCAACATTGTTCACTTTGACTAATCCCAATGGAAATGAAACTAATAAACCCCTTTGTTTACCATGTGACTGAATGATGTTAAAAGTGGAATAAGAAGTAATATTATATCTGGGCGGTGAGGATCTTTGTGGGCTATAACTTTTGCTTCTAAGCATTTTTCCTGGACCATTCTGGTCACAGCATCATCCCAACACTACCACCTTATTGCCAGTGGGGTTTTTTACATTTAAAAAAGAAAAGCCGATCCTTTTTGAGATAAATTGTTCTTATTGTTAATCATATCTATTACAATAAGGAGCAACCAAGACAGAGGCCTGGACCTCCACAATTTTTAAGTGGTGTTGACCTATAAAAGGGGGTGGGGGGGAGGCAACCACTGGAGCCTGCAACGGGATGAAAAGCAATCATAGGAGGAAGTTAATAGCATCTATTGTACATTTCTGCCCCAGTTGATGTTTCATAGGCGCCTTCTCAAGTCAACCCAAGTCAGTCCCGTGGCCGCTGCAATCGTTGGGGCACCTTAACTGCTGTAACAACCCTCCTCCGCTCTGGAGGAGGCTAGTGGGGCTAGTTTTGTACATAGATTATGCAATTAATTGCCCAATAAATGTAGAGCAGCCACAGGTGCAAAGCAGCTGTCACCCCACAAGCAGGACTACCCGTCTAGCAAATGAGCCGGGCAGCTACAAAGCCAGGGCTTGACCGTGCCCGGCTCCACAGCGGGTTGCGGGCAGCGCACGACAAGGAGCGCTGAGTAGGACCGTCCCGCCCCGCCCGCCGCAGGCGGCGGGAGCCCAGCGCGCAGGCGCGGGCTCGGTTCCTTAGCAACCGGGGAGACAACACGGGGCTGAGCCTGCAGCGCCTCGGGCCCCGGTGAGTGGCGCCTCGCGTGTCCCGTGGGTGGCGCAGCCGAGGGCCTGCCCCGCGCGCGTCTGCCCGCCCCGCCTCCGAGAGCTGCTGCTGAACGCGAGCGGCCCCGGGGTGATGCCCGTGCCTGCTCCCGCCCGGCCCCTGAGCAGTTGCTGCGGCCTGGGGGTGGGCTAGACGCTGGCCTCAGGGACACCCAGTGGTAACCAGACCTTGGGAACGAGAGGGATCTCCGGGCCAGCTGCTTGTCCCACTGCCTTGATGGCAACTGGAAGTGTTTTCTCCTACAGAGACCGGCCCCCAGCCTTCCCCAGGGACTTTGGGGGCTCCCACCCTGGAGAGCATCTCCACAAGCAGGGAAGTCAGGCAGGTGCCCCCAGGGCCTGAGGGGCCTTTTCTGCTTGGGACTTCCCAGGGTGCACCCCAGGAGCGCCTGCCAGGGTGTGTGGAGAGTGCAGGCAGCTCCTGTCCACCTGTACTCCCCTGCCCTACAGTAGATGTCCTCTGAAAAAGCAGCACAGATTATTACTACTGCTTGTCACGGCTGCAGACACGTTTGTGATGTGACAAAGGGCATGGATGTCTTTGTTTTCACTGTAAACATTACGGTGGCACAAAAGTGACATCTGTTTCCAGCTGTACAGTCATGAGAACTGGTGCTGCTGGGGCATTGGACAGTGGGTGTGAGGGTGGTGGGGGCAGGGGCTGTGCAACCCACCTCCTCCCCCAGGGGGTTGTGGTACTGCCCATGTAGTTAGGAAGGTCCCTGGTGTATGGGGACCTTACAGTGGTTTTCTTTAGAGATGGACCCTCTTCGATGATTGTGTGAACCATATTCAGCAAATGATAGCGTAGCTGCTACATCTAATTTATTTTAGATCAATATTTAAAAGGCATTTCTGGTAAAGTTTCTCCCTTACAGGAGGAAAGTTTCTGCTGTGTGTCTCAGCAAGACATTTAAAATCTCACACGTAAGTTTTAAATATTCCTGTATTCACATTGTCACAATGTGGATTCTCCAAGGATAAGTACTAGACCTGGTGTTATTTAATATGTTCATAATGGTTTGGAAAAGAGAAAGACTACAGATAGCAACATTTGTAGATGAGACAAAATTATTGAGGTTAATCAAGACGAGAAAGCTGCGAGAATTCTGGGGAGAGAGAGCAAAGCTGGGTGAATGCGAGGCACCATGGCAGATGTAATGAATTGTTCACAAACACTTTGGAAGGAAAGCTTCAAACTGTGCCTTCGCATTAGTGAATCCAAATTAACCATAGCCTTATAGATAATTCATTTGGACAACCACCTTGTAGACAGCTTGGTGAGATCCTTTGCTCAAGAAATTAGATAGAAATTATCTCCTAAAGTTTTATAATGCCATGATAGAAGTCAGTATTGCACACTAACCCAGAATACTGTATTCATTTCTTGTAATTATATCTGGTAAAGATATAAATCAGGTATAAAAGGGGTCCAGAGAGAAGGAACAGAAATTGTTAGAAACATTTAAAACAGTATGAAAAAAACTAGACTTATTTAAGAGAGGTGATTAAATCAGAATGGACAGTGCAGAGGGATACAAATTAGAATGGACAGTATAGGGGAGATCAGTCAGGTTGCCTGTATTTAAAACCAGGGGGATATTCTGTGAAATTAAATAATAACATTTTTAAAATTGGTAAAATAATTCTTTATATAAAGTAAAATTGACTTGTGTAACTTATTGCCAAAACATAAAGGCCAAGAACAAAGAAAAACCCTTCAGCCCTTATGTCAATAAACAGAATATTTCAACTGTACCCAAAAATTTCAAGAGGTATAAACCCTTTTTCTTTGGGGAATGAAAAAAACCACTAACTGTCAGTAAGGAAGACTGACCTTGGGACAGATTTCATCCAGCATCATCTCATGCATTTGGTACTTGTCAGTCTCATGACACTGGGCTGACACAGGCCTGTTGTGGAACACTGTTCTGATCTAATATGGCAATTTCCTTGCGTCTAAAAACCCCTGTGACTGTGGGGTTTGGAAAGTGATTATCTTTTGCTTTTATTTCTACCCATTAACTCAGCTTCTTCATTTATTAATCACAGACTGTGCTTTGCACTTTACAAAACAGAAAAAGATACTATTCATGGCTTAAGTAGCTTAGAATATTAATAGGGCTTGAATTGACTGTGTTATACATTTACAGAAGGGGTGACTCATTTGCTAGTCTCAGTGGCCTTCCATTAAACATTTTTCTTTCAGCTAGTTGACATTGGCTGTTTGTTGACTTATTTCAAATAAATTAGTAGATTTAATTCTTTCCAATTTAGCACAATGCACTAACCACCAGCCCACAGGTTAGGCATTACCCTGCCCCCTCTCCAGTCCTCCTTTTGAAGCTGGCTCCCTCTTGGGCATCCAAGAGAAAAGGAGGTGTGGGGCTAAGAGGAAAAACAAAATGGCAAATTAAAGGATATATGACTCGGTGAGATGAATGCTGCCCTGGAAGGCCTGAGATTCTAGCCTGGATCTTTGCTCCTCATGGGGCAAAAGCTTCTCTGCTGCTCTCTACCTACTTTAATAAAGCATTAAATGGACAGTGCAGTGGTTCAGTCTCAAAAGAGGGCTGTAGTGGGGACAGATTAATGCTTAAACTGTGGCCTGGTGGTTAGAATGATTCTAGTGGGAAGTCAGAAAGATGTAAATTCAAACATCTTTCTGGTTTAAGTGTCTCCAGCTTTCTAGAGAAGTCTCTCTAAATCACTAGGCCAGTGGTTCTCAACCATTTTAGACCCGAGGCACCCCTGAATAGGCTCAAGGAACCCCTTTGAAAACATTAGCTCTTAGTTTCACACTTTTTTGCCTACAGAAAAATAACAGAGCAGTTTTTCTGTAACAAAGAACTCAACTATGGGTTTCTATTTGGAATCTCTGGGTTTATGTTGTGAACCACACTTGTAAAGCTAACAGTGTTGATTGTGTGGCACCCTGCAATACCCTTGAAAGAATTTCAAGGCACCCTGGTTGAGAAGAACCACTGCATTAGGATACTGGGCTATAAATGGGAGAGACTTCTTCCTTCTCAGGCTATAGTTTCAGCCTTTAGGCTCTGCAGAGCTGTGTGACTGTGCAAGGGCCAGAAATGGCAGTTGCGTGGCTTGGAAATTTGCACATGTAAAGTGAAATAGGATTCAGTCCAAAAGGCTTAAAAAATAAATAAATAAAATAAATAAATCAGAAGGCAAATAAAAAGAACCCAAAAATATACCTTTTAAAATCTTGTAATTTTTATGATGATCTCATTAATCTGAAATTTTAGGACTCATGAAACTAAAGAGGGAAAAGTACTTCTCACATTTTTCCTCTTCTGTTACACATGTAGAGAGTATCTAAGCAGCAAATACAGTAAATGAGACTTTCAAAAAGATTTCTAGTATGAGCTTTACTCTGCCTCTACCAGGATTTTGTCGATAGTGTGCATCATTGTGCCTCTCCCAAAATTGTTTATTTTTTTGTAGTTATTTGTTGTATTAGAAGAAGATTTTTGAAGAGGGGTGTCACAGCGGGGTCCTGCAGGAGGGCCGTGATCTCAAGGCCCCCTCCCCATGCCAAGTTGGCCCAAAAGGGCACCCTCACTTCTCGCCCACCATGTCTTTGGTGTTCCAATATATTAGGGAGGCTGCCTTACATCCTCTTGGACACAGTTTTCTGTAACATCTGACCCCGTGGACTCCCAGACCCCTTGTGGGTCCTGTTCTCCAAATGGGCGCTTCAGGGCACCCTAGCCTTATGGGCTATGCATGGCTCCAACCACCCCTTTACCACACCCCAAGCCTCACAAAGTCTATTCCGGCTGCTCAGTCCAGGTCTACACTTTCTCTCTGGTGCTTGGGCTCTCTGGGGCCTTCTCAGCAAAGCCACCCCCCTGTCTGAGGCTCACCACACCCACACTGGGGCTTCCAGCAATGCCCCCTCTCTGGGGCTGGGGTCAGTGCACCCCAAATGCTGCACCCTTGCTGGCACTGGGGTTCCCACACTGCTGTGGGTCCCCTATAAGGCCTCCTCCAACCCCTAATAGCCTCACCCAAACCACTGGTTACAAACAGAAACACAAACGCAAGCCCTTTGGCTATAACTTAAACAGAAGCTGCATGGACATAACAACATTCAAGCCTACCCAGAGATTCTTCATCTTGCAGCAGTCAGACACTGCTCCTGTATCAGGCTTCTCTCTTCCATGACAGATTGCTCCTTCCTCCTTGGCTGCTGGCAGGGAACTACCTGTGGCCTCAGCCCCTAGGGCTTATAAGGGAGCCAGGCCCTGCCCCTTTCAGTCAGCTGACCACTGGCAGGTGTGAGTCGCTAGCTGGCTCCAGTTGCCCTGGCAACCCACAGCTGTGCTCTTTACTCACTGCTAGGGCTCTTTCCCCAGCAGTCTTCCCTCTTTAGGAGCAGAGCACCTTCATGCTCTGCAACAAGGGGGTTTGCAATGTGCTCTGAAATGACAGAATTTGTGGTTGGCCTTTTTCCTCAGTGGGGTTTACCTCAATTGAGGTAAAAGATGCTAACTGCCTCTACACGAAGGTAAAGGTAATGGTTAGCTAACTAACGCATGCTGTAGGGTGGCTAAGGCACTGCCTGGCGACAAACCCTGATCTCTTTTCCTAATTCAGAGAAGGGTACTGATAAAACAAAAAGCATGGGCAGGCCTAACGGAAGGGATAAATACAGTTGGTTTAGTTTACCATATGAATCTGCAGCATTTGGTCATTAAATCAGATCCAGTGTTTCTTCTTTCCCCTTTTGTTATCCACTACTGGAGCATTTATTGTGTGTTAGTGTTTGTGTTCCTCATGGAAGAGAGAGCTTTATGAAGGTTTGAAAAAGTGGGTGAGGTCTGGGGTATTGGTTGTAAGAAGGTAGTCCATGCAGAGAGGGCAGCATGAGAGAGAGGTTAAAGTTGGGGGTGGGAGAAGGAAACAGAATTTCAAGGCCAGCGTCATGAATGGAACAACAAGGATTGAATAAGAAATGAGATCTGAGATGCAGGTTAGGCAGAATTCCATAGTACTGAGCCAGACAGGATGCAC